GCGCTGCAGGTTATCATCAACATATTACAGTGCTTTGGGATATAAAGGAGGTTGGGATATTTCAGTCACTGGTGTAGCTGACGATGGAAATGTTACTTACCTAGATTTAACTACCTGATGTTCTCATTGGGCAGAACCAGGTTCAACAGAGTGGTTAAACTGTATCACAGAATGCTCCTTTTAAATGTTGGCCTGGTGTACTCTCATAATGCATATGTTAGAACACATTATTATAGGTTGGTTTTTTTATCAACAGAATAGCACTGCATACTAACATCTGCTGTTTGGCTATGTGATGGTAGTTCTGACAGCCCACAGCTTATATAGGCACTCATGGTAGCATGAAGGTACTTTTGTTAGTACAAGTATTTCCTGTATTCCTATGCACAGACAGAAATAGCTCGCACAGTAACCCTTACATTCAGAGCAGCTTTCTTTGCAGGTTACTTGCCGGTTCTACCTTTTCATCAGACATATTTAATGCTTGATTTTCACTAGAGATGTCTGAAAAATTCTGTATAAAGTGAATTTAGACTTTATTCCCAATTGCTTTGCTGAAATGGACAAATTCAGTTGACTGAAAACATTTTTTAGAACTCATAAAAATAGGAGAGAAATAATGCAAATGACTCATCTTGGTCCTTGTGTATGAAGTGTAAGACATGAGCACTTGGCAATGCCTCATTTCAGAAGTGGTCCCAGACAGTTCCTCTAGTTTGCTGTGGCTCTGTGCCCTTCAATGTGCTAAAGGCAGAGGGAAACCTGTGCATCAGAACATGAAGTAGATGCTACAGAGTGGGGCAAGCTGCCTCCAACTTGACTGTAGGAGACTTTTTGTAATGCCCCCTATGAGTTATTGCCACTACAGTACAGTTCCAACATATGCTTAAACTGGGTAGTTCCTCAGTGGGCTACCTGCAGCACCCATTGCCTTGCAGGTGCAATCTGCTGGGCTCCTGCAGCATGGACTGCATGGAGGACTTCCTTAAATACACGGCAAATTCTTCAAATTTCATGAAAACCTGCACTGCTTTCAACAGCTAAAAGGGCACTCTCCATATTCCTAAGGTTATTTTGCAAAGCACATTAATGCAGCTGATCCAGAATCCAAGGCCAACGTATTTTAAAATTTTAAAAACCTGCCAGCAATCATTTCATCACATGTTGTTAGCCAGTTGCTGGTCAGCAGTCAAAATGACAATGCAATTCGAAGCTCTCAAAGGTATGGTCAGGTGAGCTGCAAGTGCAAGTAAGAAATATGGTCTCCTGAAGGAGGAGATACTGAAATACTTTCCAAATGACAAAATTACTTTACAAATTAATTGCTATTACAAACACTACGGGGCACAGAAGAGGATCAGGAAAATGTTTGAGAAAATGCCTTGCGGTCAGGATTTGAGAGATTTGACGTGTGGTTTCTCAGAGAAGAAATCAAGACATTTATTTCATAAGTGTTTTTCAAGAGACTTCACGTAAGGAAAATTTCTGGTGTTCTAGTGCACTTGTTTTAGCATACTAACCCTCTACAAAAGACAAAATGCCAAATGTCTAACCCAAAACAACTGCGGAAAGCTGAAGCCAAGCAACATAAAATGGAACAGGAGGCTATTGGCTTTATCAAGGAAAGCAGTCAACCACAGGGACATCTCTCCAAATGAACTGAGGGCTCCTCCATGGCCTAAACTTTAGAATCATCAAAACTAGGGCAAATGAATTTCCCCTGAGCTTATCAAACACCCGGCTGAAACTGGCTCTGCAGAGGAAAATTTAAGTCAACACTCAATCACGATTTTGGTCACAGGTAGCAACTGGAGAGTAATTTGTCAGTGTCCCTCAGGCACCAGCAGCAGGTACTGCTGACAAAAGTCACCCAGAATGAACGGTCTTGCCCTGGTGGCTTCAAGGAAAATAAAGTACAATTAACCGCAGTATGAGAGAGAATTGTATGACTGCTCTTGTTCAGTAACTTTACAGCACACATGATACGCCGTGGGCTTTTCAGTGAGAACAATGAAACAGATTTTGAGCTTTCGAAACTTTACAACTGTTTGGACTCTGATGCAAGCAAAGGGAGAAAGGCACTAAAGGCATATGAAGAAACGGTGGAGCACTGCATGAGGAGGCTGTGCAGGGAAAGCTTACACTTGTCTTGCTGCCCCTGCTTCCTCCCAGCACTGCCAGGACTTGGTGAGAACTAGGGTTAGGGATGACGGGAGGCCAAATGGTTTTCTTCATTGTTCTTTTGACTCTTTGTCACCACAGCACACACAGGACTGTTTAAATCCAGAGTGCTGTGCAGAATGGGATGAAAGAAAAAGCTATGAGAAGAAATCTTGTTTCTGTGTTACAAAGATGCAAAACATTGATCAAGTACTAGATTTGTCAATCTGAACTGCAGGTTTTGCATACATTTTAATATGATGTGTATCTGTGCATGAAAAGCCAGCTCAAAGTTGAACAGGTTCTGTGATGATGGGGTTGATGCTGTAAATTTGCATAAAATTATCTGGAAATCAGAATTTTCTGGGAGAAAAAAGAGTGAGCACAGTGCCCTCTGGGCCTTTACTGACATGAAAATGCTTGCACAAAGAATTAAGAAGTTAAACTGTCTCACAGAAAACATGTTTTCTGTCTTTAGTCTGTGATTTTTAATAGAGGGATGAGGTTCTACAAAGTGCTGCACTTTTCACTGCTTTGAAAGAAAAATATATGCAGCACCTTTTTCTCTTGCATGCCATTTTTTGCATGGCCACGTAGTCTTTTATAAACTTAGCAATACAATGTATGTGCTCCCACTGGTGCAACTTCATTTGTCTCATATGGCATGAAAAGCAGGATCAAGTCCAAATGCACCTGTGCCCTGCTGAAGGAAACTGTGCTGTTTTGTTGCAACTTAAAATGTATTTTCTTATTTAAGCTTTACTGTGTTATAATCCAGAAATCATTAAAATGCAGGTCTTCTCCATGCTCACCTAATTAGAACAAAGATTGTTTTCTCTAGGATACAATGAATTATAAACATGTATAACTGGTGATGCATCATGCAGAACAGACTGTTGGTACTCATTACTTGAAATCTATTTCATGCCATCATTCTCTCTCTGTGCCAAATCATTCAAAGAACCTCCTTTGCACATAAAGATGAGTAAGTTTGAATTCTTGTCAAGTGTACCTTTCTACCGTAAAAATTTTTGGGAAAAAAGTACCTCCTGCACATCAAATTGCAGGGAGCTGAGCAGTCCCAATTCTACTTCAGATAAAGAAGTGCACAGATGCATTTGGTTTAGGTTTGGAGACACTCTCAAAGCTCCAGTGTGTCTTCATATATTTGCAGTTAAGAGTTTGTCGATAAGGTTGTTCAGAGATCCAGGAGAAATAGCAAAGTTTAGCATTGGTTTCTATGTCTAAAGTCTTTGGGAATTTATATAGTTTAAATAAAGGTGCAGGAGCATATCTTTAGACCTCATGGGACTGTCATTGGGCAGCCTACATCACTCCAGTACCTCAGTCATGTCACCACGTGACAGCAGAAAACCCTGAAAGACTGGAGGTGATGAACAGCTTCTTTAAAGTCAAATTTGGCAAAGTAACATTTCATCAGGAGATTATTGTTTATCTCAAATGATACCTACTATGCCAAGTTTAGCATCCTGTAACATTCACAGTTATCTGCTCTGCAGTACTCACGTGAACCGTGGAGCATTTTCTGTCTTTGATCTGACACAACGTTTTCATCACTCCAGGGTAATCCCATTAAAATAATTTGTGTTTGACTGATAAGTAGCTAAATTAAATCTGATCAAGATGTGTACAGACACTTTGATGGATGCCAATAGTATTCCCAGTACTGATAATATTTCAAAGAACGTATATGTATGCCTGCCAAGACATGCCCTTGCTGCTGCTCTTCCCTTTCCCTGGCAATACTATGGACCTTGGATTCTCCTGGCTCAATACAATGTGTTACCTGAAATATCAGGGCAATTGCTTTTATGGATCAGAGGTACTAATGCAAATATGTATTATTCCCACTTGCTATTTAAAGTGGACATGGTTAAACGCGACATGAAAAGTAAACATCACCGGGTTTATTTATTTTAAAGAGTGCAAATGTTCTGTGTATGTTTATAAGAATCTGTCAGCTCTATGTATGTTTTTTTTAATTAAGGAGCTATATAAGAGGCTTGGTGTTGCAGAGAATTCCCTCAATTTATGCCTTTTATGGTAATTTTTAGGGATTCTGTCTGATTCTTTTTTTTCTGGAGTCACAGTCAGGGCTAAATTTTAAATCAGTTCAAACAGATACAGAATAGAATTAAACAAAGAGAATTTACATTATTCCTTAAATGGTGGTTGTAACTTTATTCCAATATGTCTGGTTTTAGCTGCCAACTATGTAGTTCTAGAGACATATTTTGATGAAAATATACTAAATTATATTTTCAATGGGTAATATGCTATCCAAGGCTGTTTATCCTATGCCAGACTCCCCAAGTTATAAAGCAACTCTTCAGAAAATTGTTTAGTAAAAGATCAACACAAATATCTTTGATTTTGAAAAGAAAAGAACTGCTGATTGCAATAGCACTATTGACAAATTCTGATGTTTTAACCAAAACTATTACAGTAGCCTTTTCTATATGGACTGCAAAGGTTTCCCTACTTTCTGCACCAAAACATAAAGACCAGGCACTTTTGAAAGGGAACTACTGGACTGGAATCACACTTTAGAAAGTGATCTCTGAAATTTATACCACTAGGCAAGAAGTACTATCTTTTTTCCCTCTGTATAAATAATGTTAATGATTTCCCAGTGCGGTTAATTATAGTCTTACGTTTCTTTATTTATATTTAGCTTTTCCTAATTAGGAAAGAATTTCCTAATCCTTAAGGCAAGAAATATTTCCTTAAGTATAAATAAGGTGTAAGAAGTTTTCTTGCTTCCCATCTTAAGCTTTTCAAAGTGTACCAAAACGGTCTGCATTGGAGAGGATACCATACATCTATCTTGTGGACATGTTGGAGGGTAAAGGGATCATTACAGTAAATGAGTTTTTGAATAGTTACAGATATTAAGCAGCAAGAGAACATCAGAATTAATATGAATGCCATTTTAAAAAAAAACAACAAAATACAAACAAAAAAGAAAGCGTCCACAAGACAGGTGCCTCTGTTATTACCTGGCAAGTACCCAAGTACCAACATGTAGAAAAGCAAAGCACTAAACTGTACATCTTATAAAATATCACATCAAGCTGCATAATGAATGATATACCCCACAGTTTTTCATGTTTCAGGGAACCTAGCTGATTTATATCATGGTGGTCTCTGTCTGCATAAATGACTGAGCCCTTGAATTCCGGTGGAGCTGAGAAACGCTTTCCGATCCATTTCGAGAAATGGAGGAGCTGTGGAGTCTGTAATCTCTGCCTGCTGTCTGCTTCCAGCACAAACTCCGCCACTTTCTTTTCAGCTCCCCTTGCACCTGTGTGAAAAAGAAAATGCACAAGACGAGCTGAAAATGTTCTTCTCACATGAGGAACTTTTTCAAGTTTATTTGCTGTCAAATGGGGACCTCTAGGAATAGAATCATAGAATGGTTTGAGTTGTAAGGGAATTTTAAAGATCATCTAGTCCCATGGGCAGGGACATGATTACAAACCTGAGGTGAAGACTGTGTCTGCACTGTCTGTGAGGAGGTGCCCCAAGGCCCTTCTCAGAATCAGTCTTGTATCACTTGTGCTGCAACAGTAGCTTTTGGTATCTAGCTATTAATCACACCTACTGAAGGCATTGATTTAAATCATTAGCCCCAAATCAGGCATCTCATGAATTTCAAAGGCCAGAATAGCACACCGGAGACCAAATGTCAATTCCCTGTGCAAGCAGCTGTTTTCTTCTGACTGATTCCTCCTGTCAGACACTGCACGCTGTTCAGTGTATAGTCTACCTCAAAAAGTGGCTGACATCAAGAGGAATTCCTTGCATCTTCCTCAGCTGAGATCAGGAAAGCTGCCACATGCTGAGCACTTCAGAAAATCTGCTGCTGTTCTTGGGCTTGGTTCTTTCAGAAGATTGTCCCTGAATACCTAATAAATAGTGCGTCAAGTTCTGAAACTTGCACAATGCACATTCCCTGTACCAGAGCTAGAACTAAGTAACAGGGGACACACTTACTAACACCCTAGTTTGCAAGGAATTAGATTTCAAACAGCTCTGAACTCTTCACTCATTTCTACACTAATTTCTTTGTTGCACAGAAACTGATACATATATATTCTATAAATAGGAATACAAATATCTTCTAAAACAGGTTACTGTATCAGAGTGCAATTATAGGGACACTTATACATTTACTGAAAAGAGTATCTAACACCCCCAGTAGGAAAGGTGAGACTTACTTCACTGTTCAGAAAACAATACAGGACTGCAACAATCAACCCCTGGAAAGAGACAATATTCCTCAGTAAGAAGGCAGCACCAACCAAGGCCAATAAAACATCTTTTGAATAAAAATGTTAAAATTTACCTGAAAAGATCCCAAACACAACTCAAAGATTATTTTATAATTATTGGAACTGCGGTCAGGAAATAGAGCAAACACTGTGTAGTGAACTCCAAATAATGGAATAAGCAACAACGTGGATTTTGCAAGTCTCCTGGGTAAACAGAAGAGAAAAAGCTGGAGTTTAATGAGAAGCTCTTGTTTTACTAAGATAAGAACTTGATGCAATGACATTTACATAAAACTCATATGACTTCAGACTTATCAACAGTCTTAGAGTCACTTACTGCAATTTGTTTTCCTTTCAGGCTTGTGATGAAATTAGCCACATGGTAACCTCAGAAATGAACGTGTCCAATTCCACGTTATACTTGATCTTGCTGACCTTGCACTCCTCCAAAAGCTGATAAAAGGCTGCAGGGCCTCTCTAAACCAAAAGACTTCTTTTCAGGTGCCCTCTGGACAGCAGCAGGGTGTAGGACCTGCCCTCTGCTTTGGCTCTTTGACACAAATCCAGTTCCCAGCCTAGTTTCATGGCTCAGTTCTTGGGGGTGGGATTTTACTGCACTATGCCACAGGACCATATTTGACAAAGTGCCACAAGCTGCCATCAGGTCTTACAAGACATTTTTTACCTGACATCAAGGGTTCAGAGTGGAAAGAAATAATTCCTGCAAAGTCATACTGACAGATCCTCTTGTATGAAATGTAAAATCTCTCTCTTGAAATTAGTATGTTGACATTTATTACCTTTAAATGTGCAACTGCACTGTTAGTCTGTACATTGCACATACACAGATACTAATTTTTATGTTGTCTATTACTTAACACTTTTTAGCACAAGACACTACTGAAGTTAGGGAAGGAGAACTTCAAATTATTTAGCAGAGCAGCTCTGACAAACTCCCTGTGAAACCACTGAAATGATGAATTGCTAATTATCCCTTATCTGTCACTTATTTCACTCTAATAACATCAGTTTTATATACTATACAAGGCCAGTCATGCGTAATTATGAATGTCTGGTATCAGATAAAATTCAAGAAGTTATAATGCTGAGTCCCATAATTCATCACTGTCTTGATGAATATAACTTGATGCGACAACGAAAGGATGGTGGTGTGAATTCACCTATTTTAACAGAAAAGTCAAGGTATTTCAAGCATTTTTATTTTTTTCTGTGTCAGTCTTCATGGCCTTTCTTTGTTCATAATGTCCCAGAGGCTGCATCTCTTTATGTGGAAATAATCACTTCTGACAGCAAAGTTTCTCAAGAATAGTAAAACCCTCACATCTAAAGGTGATACCAGTAAGCAGGACAAATAGGATTTCCTTGGCAGAAGAAATGCATTTACAACTGAAGGAGATGATGATGGCAGCAAATTTTCTGTTTTCCCAACTGAAATGGAAAACGGATTTTATTTCAACTTAACCTTACCCATCGCAAAAGTAAAATGAGCAACAAAAAGGATGGAATCAGGTAAAAGCAAGTGGGACACAGGAAGGGAAGAAAAATGCATGAGCAGTATTCATTTTAGACTTATATTTCACTTTGACTCCATTCTTGTTTTAATAATTTTTGTCTAGCTGATTTTACTTTCTCTATGCTGCACTTATATTTTAGTGAAGGAAAGAGACAGACAAAACAGCCTTACTCTTCTCTGTATTTTAGGAAATGCATTTGCATTTCAAAAAACAAGCCTTCCAGACCAGTATTTCTTGAAGAGGTTAATCTACTGCTCCCATGAGTATCAGCTAAAGACCATCCAATCCAAACTTAATCAGGCAATCAAATGCTAAAAGCAAAGAATTCACAGGGCTTAATAATGAAGGACAAGCTACTAACGAACATTTTATACTATGAAGCACTACAGTAAACTGGAAAATAATGGGACTGATAGGAAGGGAATGCCTTGTTTTCATAAAATATATAAATACCACACAGAAGCAAAAATTTCTTGCCTCAAGAAGTAAACCTGAGGGGATTTCCTACCCATAGGGCAGTCATTGTGCTAAATAACAATGTGGTAACTGCATAATTTAATCTGGGTTCATTTGGTTCTCCCACATGTTTAGTTAATTCAAGCAGCAAACACAAAAAAAGGATCATGCAGCTCTTTGAAGCAAAGCCTTATGTCAATCCAATAGTGTTGCCTTCTCTGTGGTGCATCAAAATTCTTCAATTTTGCACCAAACATATCACATTGTCTACAAAACACATAAGGTCCTATTTCTCTTGGCTTGAAAGGTATGCTTTACTTTAGCATGTCATGTTTTGTCTGCTTTTATGGCAAGAATTCAGTCTTTTTCAAATGTAGAAAAGGTGTTATCCAGGGGCACATTTTCAAAGGCCACTTGCATGGTATTGAATTTTCAGTGTTCACATAAGATTTTGTCTTTGAAATATCATATACATGCCCTGAAGTCAAACTAAGTGTTTATATCTGGGCTGTAAGATAAGTCCTCCTACAACAGACTCTTGATAATGGATTACAGTATCCAGCAGCTTTTGTAATAAACAGCAATAACTGATATTGCAATATAATAAAGAACAAAGCCAATTTTAGCAATGCATTTAATTAGCCCCCCAACATTCCTTAATTCTAAAGCTGTGGAAACAGGGGATGTTAGGATTTGATGCTCAAACCAAAACACAAAAGAAGCAAGCCTAAACAGAAATGAAGTTGATCTAAATCAGAAACACTTGTTTTCCTCTAGAAAAATAAAGACACTATTTTAAATCAACAGGAAACATTATATTTAATTTTTTACTTTTTTTGGGGAACAACAGAACTTCTTTCCAGCTCTTAAAATACATATAAATATTAAAACAAAAAGTATTTTACAAACAAAAGTTTTAAAAAAATGTTTTTAAGGAAGTTGAAGCAAAGTGTTTTGATCTTGAAACTTTTTTCATGTCGAAATGAAATATTTATACATTAAAAGAAAGATATTACTCTATATTTTTTGTATCCTATTCATTCATGGATTAAACTGAAATTCAAGAATAGTTTGTCGGTATTTATGAATTTACATTTTTATTGAGTTTAGTGTTTGACCAAAAAAAATTACCTCTTTTTAAGCATAGTGATAATATATTTATTAAACTACATCTAAAAGTACTTCTGAATTAAATGTAATTATAGTACCACAGCAATTGTTGGTAGCAAGTTTCAGCATATATCTAAAAATATGACTCACTTGTACTGCGACTGGTCATTTCCTCCAACATCTGGAGATCTTAACTTCTGCAGTAAGATTCTTATAATACTAATGAAAAGTATAAAATTCACCTGCAAAGAAAACAAATATAATTGTGATTTCTGATTTCTCCACTCAATACGCAGCACAAAGAAATGCCTATCAAGTCAGATAAATCACCTCAGCCGTGGGTGTCATGTACCTCTGCCAGAATACATTAAACCCTACAGTGTCAAACCTCGTCTCTGTTTTCTGCCTCGCTAGGTTTGTTACATCCAGCGCACCTCTGCATGGCCACCAGTTCTAGTCTGAGCCTCTGAAAGCTCCAGCTGTCAGCAGTGCCCTCTTTCCAAAATCCCAGCTGAAGACAGGTTTCCCAGCAGGGTGGGACATCGGCTGTGATTTGGTACCATCAAGCACTGTCCTAAATTGTCGTGTGGATACGTGACTGGAAGCCCAAAGGAAAATGTAAGTCCCATACACAGTTCCATCCCTCTTGCTTCCCACCTTGACTTTCAGTATTTTCTGTCTGAATTAGGGGAAGAAAAGATGGTTGTACAGGCGAGCTGTGCACTTCAAACAAGCACAGAAAGGGCCTCTCACAAGTATCTCTCTGTCTGCCACGAGTATTTTTGCAGACATCATCACTGAAGGAACTGAATCCGTGTAGTCTAATATTTTGTTCTCATGACAGCTTTCTGAGACACAATAGTAGCATTATCTTATTTCAAAGAAAGGGAATGGAGGCAACTGGTTAAAAAAAAGTTATGATTGACTCTGCTCAATCTAGAAACCGAAGTGCAAAACTCAGCAGATCCTAAGTCTCATTCCCATTATTTCTTCATCCTTGGCTTTTGGCATCTTGTGTTTACCAGCCCTGCTGGTGCTGGATTGTTTGATGTAATCTAGAAAACTGCACACTAAATACAGCATGCCCGTACTAAAGTGAGAGAACACTTTGAAACCACACCACAGCAACAGAATGAGCTAAAAACTGCAGCTACTACTACATAAAAAAACTGCATCAAATGCACAGAGTATAGAAGACATCAACCTAAGAAAAAATTTCTATCACTGTAAAAATGAGCATTTTATTGTTTTTAATCAACCCCATCCCAAAGCCCAGAATCAGGACGTTGGGTACCCAACCAGCCTGCCTCACTGCTACAAACCTTTGGTCTCTTTCTGTTTTGATATATTGCTGGAACTCTTCTTTTTCCAGTCTTAACAATCTGGCTGTAAGCTTTTCAAGTTCAATGAATTTCTGTGTCTACTCTGACACACTCAGTACAATTTGTGATGTTAATAAAGAACCTATGAGCATAGCAACTGCACGTCCCTCTGTATTTAATATTTTGTTTGAAGTGACAGGTGAAGGGAAGTGACAGGAACTGACAGGGATTAAATAAAAAAATAGGGAAATTAAATTAATATTTTTTTAAAAAAGAAAAAGAAAGAAATGTTAGAAAATACAGGCCTTTACTGAAGTAAACATACATTTTTCAGGAAGATGATGATTTAGAAGTTTTCCTTGATGCAAGTCTCCTATAAAAGTAACAGGCAGAAGCCTGTTATTGCTGATTGTATCTACAGATGTACCACAGGAGAATGTACAGACCAAGGGATATAAATTTAGTTTGCCATATGCGCTGGAGCCAGTATTAGTGGACAAGGAGAAAGCCTTCCTTTTAATTTTACATTTATTAGCCACAAAATAGGAGAAGGAAAAATCTTGATTCTCTATTTGCAATGGGTTTGGCAGAGTAACTACTTGTTCTTCACTGGCATCCCTAGTTTCTACTGTAACAGAATAAACTGTTAGCCATTTGGTTTCGGAAGCATCAAATTATCTGCAAAACTACACTCAGGTGACTCACATTTTTGACTGATGTTCATGTATTACATTCAAGTCTGTTTTCAAGCACATACCTTTCTATCTGTAAGCACAGTTTTGTATTAATGAAATATATGCTTTCTTGTTTGGAGTTTGTAACAGCTCTTGCCACTGCTGAGCTTGTAAATCCAGCCAGCTGAAACTGGGCAACTGAACCCAGCAACTGCCACTTGAATTACTACAGTGGAGCAAATAAATTTATCTAAGATAAACAAGAGATATATCTGAGATATTTATACCCGTAATGTGAGATAACAAGAAAAACATTTCTCAATTAGTTTGATGTGACAGAAGTACTATTTCCGTCCGAACACCACTCCTCCAAATGAAAGTGATTTATGCAAGTGGAAGTACGGAGAAGGCAGGAAAACCTTTGTCTGATTTCCTTCTTCTTTCAAAATCATATTAATGGCATCATCCTCACAATCAGGCTCTACTCTGCTCTTCTTTTCTTCACTCTTCTTCCTCCTCTTTAAGATTTTCATAGTCAACCATATGGCAGGCTATCTTTCATGCCATCACATAAGACAGTTGATGAGAGCTCAGGTGTTCTGCTCTCCTTTATTTTCCTGAAATCCAGCTTTCTTCAGAGATTTTCTGTGTTCATCTCACTGACTGCTTACACAGATGTCCTTCCTACTACTGAAGCCATTTGTTGCTGCTGGTCACCTTGTCACCATTCTCTGGGAATTTTCCAGTCTTCGTCCATTCTCGAGCAGACTGAGGGCGCTGTGTGAGTATGATGTAAGTACATCATACTTTTATTGAGAAACATCATGAGTCTTTCACAACACTTATCCAAAGAACTTGCAATGAGCTGTTTTCACTGTTAAATGGCAGGCAGCACTGACCTCATTATTCAAAGATTTGAATCTTCAAATTTTATTTTTGTTAGAAGGTAACAGGAAATGTTGAGCGTATCACTGTGTATGCATATTGAAAATTATTTTCTCATTAATGTAGTACTATTCTGTCATCAACGGCTGGTTTTATATGACACAGCAGTAAGTCTGCATAGCATCCCAGCTGCCACAATGTAGTTTGATCCTCCAACAAGGGTAAGTATCACTGCTCTTATAACTCCTTGCACTTCTGAATTCTCCTGTCACAGCTTAACTTTCCAAAGGCAAAACGTAGTTCATCAAACAGCTGGAGAAGCATCTAATCAGAGAAGCGAGTGACCTCACACAGTACACACTGCAGAATTTGACCATCTTTAGTTGCTCTCAACCCTATAATATGCTGCTTAAGAGAAGAAACATCTCTGGAAGGTGGCAGCAGATCCTGAACATGTACACCTGGCAAGCTAAAAAATTTAATTTGCAAAATGTTTCCCTATGTCTCACAATCCCATCACATCAAATCAGTAACAGACTTGATAAAAAAAACAAAAACAAAAACAACAACAAAAAAACAACAACAAACAGAGCATGACTGATCCCCACCTCAAACAGTGATTCTAGTCCACATTTTATGATATACTGGATTTTAGGTGATGGAACAGTACTCCATTTTTTTAACTCAAAACTCATTTCTCAGTCTTAGCTAAGATGCAGCTGCAATACAAGTCTGCCAAACACACTTGGATAACTTCTGTCTCCAGGTCTAGGACTTCTTTGGAGAAGTACTGCTCTCTGGCACATGCAGTCTCAGCTGTCTAGCAGATAGCTGTTTAAATTGAACATTCAGAGAACAGAATTTCATCTTCCTGTAAACACCAGGTGGTTTGTTTTGCTTCCATCTTTCAGTATATTTTTTTTCACTCTGGATGAACCCTCATTCTCCAGCTCCATTGAGGCACACATATTCTCTTCATGCTGTAGTTCTGCTGCATGCCCGTTTCTTCATATAATAAAACACATTTTCTGTGAGTCCTTCCCTTATCTTATTTCACACAAATGCCTACTCTGTTTTCTCTTTAAGCACTGTAGAACTCACTCTGATGAAGATGACAGGAATTTCTCTCAAAATTATTTTCAGCAGGCACAGATTGAAAGGCAAGCCCAAGCGAAGTGCTGGACTGATCTGGACTCTTGAAATGTTGTGTAATCTAATAATGCCCTAACTGTTCTGATTAAAACCTTAAAAACAAAACAATGGTATCTGAAATGTATTAATTTGCACTGTGACTGTTTTCAGAAATGGACATATAACAATAGTATATTATGCCCAAAGTTGATTACACAATCATCACAGTGAACAAGAATTTTATTATGCTACTCCAGTAATTCTAATGATTTCCACACAAGAAAAGCCCCATGAAACATCCTCACACGGTATTCTTTTGTAAATACTTTGTGTTCAATATATATTTCAGTAGGCTACCAATTAAGGAAAGATATACACAGCCATATTTTTATGGCTGCAATAATATCAGATTCTCAATTGCAGGGCTCTCTATTTACACAAAAAATCAAATCTGCAATTCATTGAAAAAATATAATTAGAATTTTGCTTCCCCCATGCTCATAAACAGGAGAGATGTTGAAGAAATAACAACATAAAAATAAAACCAACTGCTTATTTACTAGAAGGCAGATAAATTTTGAAGGCATCAGATTTTAATGGCCTTGGCATACATTTCTCCTACAGCACAATTTCTTTTCATTAAAACAGAATTCTTGCCTGCCTGTAACTAGCAGTAAAGAATAATGGCTGTATGTACTGCACAACGCTGAACTGATCTATAATTCATGCTTCAAAGTTTACTTACTATAATAGAAATTAAAATTGGTATTCGTATAACCCACCAGGGACCACCATGCTCATTTGTATCCCAGCAACTGTAAAAAAAAGAGGGAAAATTATGTTGACATGAATATCATCTGGCAAGCAAGACCTATGAGAAGTATTTTTTACATACAAGTCAAAGCACACTAAAGTAGTGTCAGTTCTAGCCTAGAATTTGGCATTCAAACTTCTGCTTTTAATGTTATTTCCCTGGTTTTAATATGTATATTCAAATCAGCTAAAACATCAGACAGACTAGACTCTACCATCAGGAATCATGGAGGACATCTGCCTTTAGGGAAACCAAGCTTAGTTTCACTTTGTGTAAGGACTCTTTTCCAATAAGCACTTAACACCAGCCTCTGGGTAGCAGCAAGATCTAAAGCAACTGACAGATACAACTTGAAATGACATAATCCCTTGTGGGATATTTAGGTTACAGATGGCTGGAAGTGGCTTAGGAAAATGTGAGACTTAAACTGAAACTTTGTCTGAAAACCTGAAAATTTAACTTTCACTGTGGGCTCAGCATTTTTGGTCCAAATACACTAAGTGAGCTGAAAGATTAATCTTAAGCAAGAGAAATACCCTTCAGTGTATTCAGCTCTGTGCCTGTCCCCTTCAGACAAGCAAACTATCTTTGTGTGAACACCACCATATCCAAGGAGAGGATTGTACTGGCACAGTTGGAGGCTTTAAGCTTTCTCTCTCATACACGCACTTACCCAGTGTCCTCTAAAATGATTCGTGTCACTGTCCACGTAATAATGAATATGGTAGGAATTCCTGAAAAATCCCAAAGAGATTTACAGATGATCACAAAAATGTAAGGCCACAAAAAAAAAATCAGCCTGCTAGTAACCAATCATTCCCCAAATATAGAGCATATAGTAAACAGTTCAGTGAATGAAAGGAGATGTCCATCTGATCAGCTATGTGATGTAAGCAATGTATTACAAAGACTGCAGGGAAGTGGGTTTATCACTTATAAAAATGGAGCCATAATGACTAATATACACAGAACATGCCTTTCTTAGGTTTGTTTCAAGCTGTCAGAGTGACCTACAGGGAAACAGATACAAGTTATGTATTCCCAGTGCTCTTCCAAGGACTACAATATAAAACTAAAGTGTAAATCATTTCTTAAGGAACCATTCCCATTTCCCAGCAATACCTAAATGTTTTATGACCACCTATTACTGGAAGCTTTAAAGTGCTCCATATAAATATCATTGCACTTTTGGAAATGAAAGAAGTAGATGTACTTAAAACCAGATGAACAATATTACTGGGCTTTTGAAAAAGGCAAATAGCATGGCATAGCCTGTGGCTGTGTAGCTAAACTTACTTTTTCCTCCCGTATTAGGAAAGCCTGAATCGTATGTTTTGTGGTGGCAGTCTTTGCACCATCCTATATACTGAAGAACCCCATGGCATTGTGTCATGGCACAAGTCAGAGCCATCCCAAGGAGCAAGCCAGCAGTTATTCTTCAGCAGTTTTATGCCCACTTTCTCTCACGGCACAGTGGCCGTAACCTATGCTGGAGCTGAACCAAGGAATTAGTGAGTCTGAGGAGTCATCCAACAGAAATGGCATGACTACCTTTGTGTGAAATACTGAACCTGACTGATACACACACAGCGAAAAGAAAGTTATTATTGGAATATCTTTAAATTCTTACCCCATCCAATCAGCAGGTAGATTGTGAAATGTCTGTTGGGGGAGAATATTAGCACAAGGAGGATGTGGAGGTAAAGTCCTTCAACCAAAAGCCAGTAAAAGTTTGCCATGACACCATATTGAAAAAACACCAAAATAGCCTTGCAGCCCACCTGAAATAGGAGAATAGAGATCAAAGTTGTTGCAGGAAAGACACTGGATTATTTTGTTATTAATATAGCCTATAGGTCTTAGCTCTCCATGTAATACTACATGGATGATGAGACAGAATGTACTCTCAGGACATTTGCTGAGGATACAAAGCTGGGAGGAGTGGCTGACACACCAGAAGGCTGTGCTGCCATTCAGTGTGACCTGGACAGGCTGGAAGGTTTGATGGGGAGAAACTTAACTGAAATTCCCCAAGGGCAAGTGTAGGGTACTGCATCTGGGTAAGAACAACCCCATGTATCAGCACAGGATGGGGGCTGACCTGCTGGAGGGCAGCTCAGAGGGAAAGGATCCGGGAGATCTGGTGGACAGCAGCTGACCATGAGCCAGCAATGTGCCCTCATGCCCCAGAAGGCCAATGGCATCCTGGGGTGCATGAAGAAGAGTGTGGTCAGCAGGTCAAGGGAGGTTCTCCTACCACTCTACTCTGCCCTGGTGAGGCCATATCTGGAAAACTGCACCCAATTCTGGGCTCCCCAGTTCAAGGACTAGGAACAACTGGAGAGAGTCCAGCATAAAGCCACTGAGGTGATGAGGGGGCTGGAGCATCTCCCATATGAGGAAAGCCTGAGAGAGCTGGGTCTGTTTAATCTGGAGGAGACTGAGGGTAGATCTCATGAATGGGTGGGTGTCAGGAGGATGGGACCAGACTCCTCTTGGTTGTGCCTAGTGACAGGACGAGGGCCAATGGTCACAAACTGGAACACAGGAGGTTCAACTTAAACATAAGGAAAAAATTTTTTACTGTAAGGGTACCAGAGCACTGGACCAGGCTGCCCGGAGAGGTTGTGGAGTCTCCTCTGCTCTTAAGACATTCAAAGCCCCTCTGGACATGTTCCTGTGTGACCGAGTCTAGGTGATCCTGTTCTGGCAGGGGTTGGACTGGATGAACTGCAGAGGTCCCTACCAACCTCTACCATTCTACGATTCTGTGATATTAGTAACCCAGGTCCAGTCAAGAAAATTGAGACACTGTAACCATTACTGTATATATAAAATAAAATGAATAGTAAAAAAAAAATATTTAGATGGCTCTCATAGCAAGTTTGCTCAAATTTTGGAAACTTCATAGCATAAATATCGGAAAAGGTAGCAGTCATCAATAAATGTACACATTTGCAATGGTAAATTAGTGAATGGCTATTAGACTAAATGATCATCTACTATGTGGCTAATAAATAAATATATTAATAATAAATATATTAAAATCCCAGCTGGCTTCCTAACACAGTAAAAATTAAGAAACTGCTTTATGAATTTTTCAAGGCTAAATAGGAAGCTGAGTGAAAAATATAATGTTACATTATGAATATTCTAAGTAGACTTAGAAGAAAAAGTTGACTGGACTTCTAAAAATTATGTTTTCCCTGTAGAAAATGCTTTAGTGTCTCTTAATTAACAAAACACATAAGCACATATCATAAAATGAAGTCCCAATATACTTATAGTCTGTGTGCTGCTCTTCAGAATTAATTTTCATGTGAGTGTGCTGTTGATGTTCCACAGTGCTGGCTGCTGCTACTTTTGCCCTTTCCAGGAGGAATCTGGGATGTGAGAATCGAACATAAAAATGTTTCTGTGCTGAGACTGAACTGAGAAATGTGATGATAGGATGAATGTAACAGACTAAACAAAATGGACTAAATAAAACTTCTTATTTCTGCCTGCTTTACTCCCTCATTTCAAAACCCTTCATACCTCCACTGTTTCTGTTAAAATTCCAAGTATATAAAATGCCTACACAGGTAACTGTCACATTTAGTAATTAATTTCTATGTTTAAACACAGGTGTCTATTATGAAGTGAGATGCCCTCAGAGACCTCAGTCACCAGCTGCTAAGCCTTCTGGCATAGACCTCCTGGAGATACTTCTTTGTACCCATCAGCCCCTTGTGGTGTCTCAGTGTATCCCAGGTAACGTACATGCCTATATCTATGCCTGTGTACATGTCTATATAGACAACTAGGTAGGAGCCCAAAGTCTTGAATTCATTTAACCTAGTTTTAGCTGCCTACAAACAATGCTAGCTACCTACTAGCCAACTAGCTCCTCATACAGCTCATGAAAAGACTCAGAGAGAAAGAGTCTTTCCAGAGAAAGTCTTAAAGCAGATGACTTAAACTGTCCAGTAAGAACTTTGTCCATTAAGTCCAGTAAGGATTTTGTATCCATTGAAGGGATATCCATTGCAGACCAGTAATGGGCCAGAAAATTTAACATGGAGAAAATTAAACTTTTCAAATGTAAGTTGAAATTTGGTTTTATGCTCACGACTACTTACAACCAGATTAACAGCCAAAGTCTAACATTTCTGTAGTCTCTTCTAAATTCCAGTACTTCCCTATATTATATTCATGATTTACATACCAGTACCCTGCATCAAAACTTTCCTTTCCTCTTGCAGCTAATACCTGTATCAGGTGTATTTCCAGCTGCTGAACAGTGAATGTATCTGTCAGTAAAGACTCAGCCAAAATTACAGCTCTGTGTCATTCGGATCCAGGACCTATTTACACTGCATTTTGCATCGTGTGCTTTTAAACATCTGTGTGTGCAGCAGAACTGTGGAACATCACACACGTGTGCCACAGGGTAAACCCTGCATGCAGTTACATAGGAAAGGTAGCATCCAGCCAGGGCAAGACAAAACAGCCTTGCCATGCTGGTGTCAGATCATTCCATGTATAGTTCAACAGCAAGTACTCAAGAGTTCACAAAACTGGACATATTCAAATAGGAAAGCATGAAGCTTTTCAGCCAAGAATAACTGGAGAATAAAAGAAATTGCAGAAATCAAGTAGTATTTTGAGAATCCATTGAATAATCTTTCAAGGAGCTAAGAACTTCTGATTATACCTCTGGCAGTCTGCTTACTAAATACTTTTCTTCCTTTGGATGTACTAACTTAGAGCCTATTTGTCTTCATTAGAAATATCCCAGATTATGAATTCATACATACATACAGCTTGGTTCTCACTGCTAAGAACTTTAGTCTTTGAGACAATGTATCTTCAACAGTATAAAAATATCTTCCATCTTTTTCTCACAAGTTTAAACTGTAGTAAATTAAATTCAGAAGGTATTCAGCAATATTTGTCAGGTTCTTCTGCAGCACTTTTGACTGAATCAATGGAGGCAGAGAATGGAGAATACCATACAGTGGTCAGTCTTTTAACAGCAATACTTGATAATTTTTTACCCACTGTGCATGAAAAGGCAGTAAACATTAGCTTGTCAAGAATGCAGATGACAGCACTTCTGTCACAGCCAGAAAGTACAGAGGAGTTAATAAAGACAACTCCTGCAAATATTTAATTCCCTGACTCATTTCTTTCCCTCCATTGATACCTGTCCAATTCCTGCTCTCCTCATAAAGCTGCTGGAACATTTCCAGATGAACTGCCTTTAATAGTTCCCACCTGATGGCACTCCTGCTTGCCTTAGAACTCTCCCAGCCGATCAATGCAGTGGCCATATCTATTCTGAGCTATAGCTGGTCATGATTTGTTTTGGCAGATGACATACTGTCCCTTCATGGACAGACAAAACAACATTAATTTATCTTATTTGTGCTGCAACCTTCTTTCTCTGGCTACTTCTAATAGACCATTTTGCTAGTCATTATATTCTCTACAGAACTGTCCACACTAACAGTTAGCTTTCCTAAATATTTAAAAGGATCAGGGAGGAATATTTAGTGACACAACAGTATTATACCAGGTAGCAAATGAGGTTTATTACCCACGAGGTTTGATCCTCTGGACAGTGAGCGGTGTTGGAGCTGGAATAGAGGATATCATCCTTGACTAAAACAGAGATTGCTCTTAGAATGAATGACAGGAACAGGTTCAGATGGATGTAATTCCGAGTACAATGAAGTTTTCTAAAAAGAGATTTAAAACCGGGCATTTTAGATTTCAATACAGAAAGCTCTTGAACAGACTTCCATTACTCTCTGGTCGTTTCTTAGTAATATGAACCTTGAGTAAGAGCCTACCCTTTTCTTCTCTGTCATATTGTCACTGCTGCCTTGCTGCTTTCTTTTATCATCATCATCATCCTTCTCCTTATCATTACAGGCTGTCCAAAATAAACAAATACAGTATTTCTTACTCCTTTTCAGTATCACAGACAAAAAGATCCCAGTGGTATTTCTCCCACACTTTAACATAAGCTGACAATAAACACAGATTATTACATCCTTCTGTGTGCACACTCATCCCAGTGTTTTTCTTGCAAATAAAAGCTTTATTATCCTGGATATATTTCAGATATGCTCTCATCTATTATTTTCTGGTGTAATTTTTTATTTAACTCCTGCATCTTGCTATATAACGGCTTTTCATCCTATGACGTAAGTGTATGCAGGAACAATTAAAAAATGCATTCAAAACATTAGATCCCCTAATCTTTCTATCCAGTGAGATGTAAAACTTCTCTTCTTTAGTCCAGCAGCCATGTGAAAGCCTGACAAACAAATTACAAATTACATACTCCAAGTAAGTGAATGAGTGCTCAGGGGAAGCAAGTTATAAGTTGAGGGCTTCTCACTTAAAAGACTTTCCCGTTGAGATCTTCCCACTTAAGAGAATTTTTTTATAGCAAATCCTCAGGACCAAACTGCTAAAAGGGGTTTTTTTTTGTCAAAATCAGCATCTTGAACTGTATATGGAAATAAGCCAGAAGCCAGGGCATTTTAGCAAGTACAAACAATGAAAGAATGAAGAAACAATACGATGTTATGGTGGCATACAGTGGCAGCTTCCAAGTAGTCTTCACAATTTGATTTTTACCAAAGATTATTTAAATAATCCATTCTGAAACTACTAAAGCAAGGAGAGTTACACTGAGTGTA